CTCTCTCCTTTCTCTTCTCTACTAGCTCTTGATTTTAAGTAGATAAAGATGCTCAAGTTTCTCTTCAACAAAAACAAAAGCAAACAACAGTAAGAAAACCTCACCTCTGACAAGGAAGCGCAAATCATTATTGAGTAATTACTATGTGCCAGTGACAGTTTGTGCTAAGATCTTTATGTGCATTATCTTAACTTTTATAGTAACCTTACACGGCTTATTACCTTTTTTATTGTATCATACTGAAGAAACTGAAGCTTGTTGAGGTTAAGGTCACTCGGGAACACTTAGATTGTTAAGGGTGGCAGCAGGATTTGAACCTAAGCCAACAGAGCCCAGGACCCTGTATTTTTAACCATAATATTATACTACCAACCTGTGTCTTTCTGTTTTTTATAGAAACTTTCAATTTATTTTTGAATTATTTAATTTGTTGAATAAGTAATACTACCTATGTGGTGCAAAAGTGTGTACCTAGTGAAAAATTTGTCATCTTCTAATCTCTTTCCTAGAGGAACATTGAACTAGTTTCTTGTGTGTCCCTCCAGAAATTTTCTAAGTGTATAAAAAGATCATGTGTATTTGTACTTTTGTCTCCCCACTCTAATAAAAATATTGACACTGTTCTACATTTTACTTTTATTGAAAGAATGTATCTTGGATGGTGTTCCTTGTTATTAATTATAGAGCTGCCTCATTCCTTTTAATGGCTGAATTATATTTCATTGTATGGATATATCATAATTTGTTTAGTTGCCTACTGATGGACACTTAGATTGCTACCAGTGTTTTACTGCGGCTGCAGTGAATGACTTGTGTGTCATGTGGGCTTATGTGCAAATATATCTGTATGATACATTTCTAAAAGTTAAATTGCTAGGTTAGAGGTTATGTGTTTTTAAAATTTTGAAAGCTCTTGCTAAATTGCCTTCTGTAGAAATTGTACTGATTTACATTGCCACCAACAGTTTGTGAGGTGCCTATTTCCCTGTACCTACCTTCTCTAAAACAGCGTGTTAGCAAACTTTTGGATCTTTGCTGTGTAAAAAATAGTAATTTGCATTTCTTTTATTATGATTGAGATTGAATTTCTTTTTTGGGGGATAATAGGTGTTTGAATTTCCTTTCCTGAGAGTTATCTGTACATGTCTGTCAGCCATTTTTCTTGTAGTGGCTGGTTGGTTTTCCAAAAATGATTTGTATATCCTTTGTTATAGTAGAGAAATTAGTCCCTTGTGATTTGTTGCTAATGTTGTTTTCCCATATTGTTGTTTGTCTTTTGACTAAGTTTATTTATTTATTTATTCCTTGCAGAAATGTTTTGTTTTTATGTAGTTGAATTGATCGGTTTCTTCTGTGGCTTTTGAGTTTTGCGTCCTTCTCAGAAAGACTTTTCCTGCTTTGAGATTATAAAAAATATTAACTCCTGTTTTCTCATTTAATTTTTTTGTGTTTAAATCTTTATTCCATCTAAAATTAATTTGAGGGTTTGGAATTCTACTTAGTTTCCTTCTTTCTTTTTTCCCTTTAGATGGCTATCCAGTGTCCCAATGTCATTTATTGGATAATATCACCCCCCCCCCCAGCTGGAGTGTTACTTTAATCAAGTGCTGCATATTTGTATCTGTTTCTTGATTGACCATTTTGTCTGTTAACATCCATTATCAGACTTTTAATTACTGACTAGTATATTTTAATAACACATAGGGCTAATGTCCCCACCTCATTACCCTTTTTCAATTTTTTTTGCTCTTTTTGCATGTTAGTTACTACATATGAATTTTAGAATTACTTTTTCTGTTTTTTAAGACGTCTTATTGTTATTACTATTTTTTTTTTTGTTTTTTTTGTAATTAGCAAACTATTTAAAAGACTACTCTCAGCTGGCATTTCTCCTAGTGGGTTTTGTGGAACGTTGGTCTTATGAGAATGCTTCTTCTAAAGAGAATTCCATGGCAAATATTTTTGAGAAATGCTACATATTGTATATAACACCTCTCTAGGATTCACAGCACACGTTAATATATCAAAAGCTCTTTGAAGTTTAGCAATAAAGAAATCTGGTTTAACTTTTTTGTGTGTGTGAGGAAGACCAGCCCTGAGCTAACATCCGTGCAAATCCTCTTTTTGCTGAGGAAGACTGGCCTTGGGCTAACATCCGTGCCCATCTTTCTCCACTTTATATGGGACGCTGCCACAGCATGGCCTGACAAGCAGTGCGTCAGTGCGTGCCCAGGATCCGAACCTGGCCGCCAGCAGCGGAGTGCGCGCACTTAACTGCTATGCCGGGGGGCTGGCCCCCTGGTTTAACTTGTAAATTGAGTTTCCCAGACTTGTTTGATCACGAATCCTTATTTTGGTACAGAATGTTCCTGCAGGATATTCTGTAGAATATATGTTGAGAAACATTTATCTATCATTATGTCTTCTTCATCTGCAGTTCATAACTCACTGTAATCTGGCTACGGCTCCCCAGTCAGTTTCTCTTAAAACTATTCTTGCCAGGGATGATGGTGACTTTTTGTCACCAAGCTCAATAGACATTTTTAAGTCTTTTTTTTTGTGAGGAAGATCAGCCCTGAGCTAACATCCATGCCAATCCTCCTCTTTTTGCTGAGGAAGACTGGCCGTGAGCTAACATCTGTGCCCATCTTCCTCCACTGTACGTGGGATGCCCCCACAGCATGGCCTGACAAGCAGTGCATTGGTGTGCGCCCAGGATCCGAACCCGGGGAGAGCGCGTGCACCTAACCGCTACGGCCTGGGGCTGGCCCCTTTAAGTCTTTTTAAAATTTGACCTTTATGGACTTTCAACTTTTTCATCATCCATCTTTTGATGCTTTGTTCTTTCTTGACTTTGGTGAAGTTATTCTCTTGCTTTTCCTCCTACCTTTCCCTCTTCCTCTTTAATCACCTTCCTCTTTAGTCTACATGCTCTGCCCTCTGCTTTCTGTCTAGGATATGGCATTGTGGCGCTGTCACTGTGTATTTGCTGATGACTCCTGTATTTCTATCCACAGCACACTCCTCTTTTCTTGAGCTTCAAACATCTGTTTTCACTTTTGTTTGATAGACTTTCCACTTGGCTTGTCTCACAGGCCCGTCTAGCTCAGGCCCACCTCACGGGCCTAACACGGTTCAAACAAGAGTCTCTGCTGGCCAGCATAGTGTCTTTGTGTGAATTAGTGTCTTGGAGCAGATGTAGCCTTTGGCAAGCAGAGCTCAGGCTGGATTTCACCCTCTGCTTTTACCCGTGGTAGGATATAGTCTGCATAACTGTACACGGGTACTTGACTGTAATTCTTGAATTTGTCTCCCCTCTTCTCTACCTGCTTACTGCCTGAATTCAGGCTCTTGTGGTTTTTGGTCTTATCTTTATTCTTTCTATTTCCTTGTCTCTATATTTTCTCCTTAGGTCATCATTCTATAATTTTTATTTATTTATTTATTTATTCATTCATTCATTCATTCCCCCAAAGCCCCAGTAGATAGTTGTATGTCATAGCTGCACATCCTTCTAGTTGCTGTATGTGGGACGTGGCCTCAGCATGGCCAGAGAAGCGGTGGCCTCAGCATGGCCAGAGAAGCGGTGAGTCGGTGCGCGCCCGGGATCCGAACCCGGGCCTCCAGCAGCGGAGCGCGAGCACTTAACCGCTAAGCCATGGGGCCGGCCCTAGGTCATCATTCTAAAATGGAACTCTGGTCAACTCACCCAATTAATGTCCTTAACTGTTTCCCATTTCCTTTCATATAAAATTGAACACCTTAGCATTGCACACAAGGCTTTTTCTCATCTGGCCCTTGTATACATTTCCACACTGCACTAAGCTACTTAGTGCCTCTGGTTTGCCCTGTCCTCTTAAGCCTCTGGGCCTTAGCACATGCTCTTCCTGGAGTAGTGTCTTCCTGTTACCCTTATCTGATTGGCTAATTCCTGTTGGTCTTCAGAGCTTTTCTCAAGTGTTACATTTTCTTGGAATCCTTCCCTGATCTCCGTAGTTCTGGTTAGATGTTCTTCCTTTGTTGCCTGTGCATGGTTTTCTCATGCATAGCAGTTGTGTTTGTGCTGTACAGAATTTATCTGCTTGTCTACTGGTTAGAATTAGAGCTTCTGAGAGCAGAGATTATGTTTTCAATTCGTGTTCCTCTAGGCTCTAGGGCCACAGTTTCAAATTATACTCCTGAGATCCTTTAGGTGTTCTCTCAAGTTTTCCTGGGCTCTTGATTCTCTTCTTGGTGGCCCCCTCTCCCCAGTCCAGTACCCTTCTCTCCTTCATCTAGAGCACTCTACTTTTATCTTTTTTATATTTGTTATTCTCTCAAGATTTTGTTTAAAGAAAATGTTCTGTGTCTAAATGAAAGAAAGAAAGAAGGAATGGAAAAAACAGAAGAAAGGAATGAAAGAGAGAGAGAGGAAGGGAGGGAGGGAGAGAGGAAAGAAGGAAGGAAGGAAAAAAAAACTCAGTTCTGAGACTTAGCATAATGCCTAGAACAGTAGGCATTGGAGAAACGTGGTTGATTAATCAATTCAGACATCTGCTTTGATAGACTGATATTGAAATGACCAACATTATTAACCCACCATACCAGTTGACTCCCCTTTCCTCTAACATACACAGTTTTTTTTTTTTTAATTTAAATTTCTTTTATCATGCTGCTTCTTCTGCCTGAAGTTCCCTTTTCTTCCTTCTAAGAGGTGCTTAATACATTTTTATGGAGTTAACTTATGGGATTGATTTTAACTTGATAAAATGATTTTTTATTGTTGTTATCAGACAGCCTCTGGGTCCTGAAAGGTCGATTTTCTTGGTACAACTTTCTTATGAATTTACTTTACAAGCCAAAGAAAAAAAAAGAACAATTTTTAATTAGTTTATTTTGGGTTTATTGATGAACCATAGTTTATCTTAATTAGGCTAACTCATGTGGTTACTGCTAACATTTGTTCAACTAAGTAATTTGAAAAGTTGTGTTCAAACTGTGATAATGTTTTTCTTTTTCAGCTTGTGAAGCTTTGTATTGCGATGATTGATACCGGAAAAGCCTTTTGTGTTGCAAATAAACAGTTTATGAATGGGATTCGAGACCTGGCACAGTATTCTAGTAATGATGCTGTAGTTGAGGTTAGTATTATTAAAATTAGTTACAATGATAATTGCAGCAAGACATTAAAGAATTATGCACCCATTTACCTTATTGATAGTTATAGTGGTCCTTAAAATTAGAAGTAGCAAAGCTATCACCGTTAGTGCTATCTTGTACAGTCTTGTTTTCTTGGATAGTTAGAAGTTGATGGTTGATTTGCGTTGTCATTGTAAGTTTACTTGCTGCTAGGTGAGCTGAAGCATCTACAAGAGGGCCTGAGCAGGGAGAACAGGATCATGTTTACTGGTAGCTGCTTATAGGGGCAAGCAGAGAGCATTAACCTAAGAATAGTATCTAACTGTTTATTTGGGGGGCTGCATAGGAAAGTTCTGGTCAGCTAGCTATGCTGGGTTAGCTTAGACCCCTTGCAGTACTATGTGGTATTATATTTCTTTCATGAGGAATAATAACTGGTGAAAAAATGGTTGTAGTTTGATGATTATTTGATGCATTGATGCCTAAATGGGCACAGACTTGATACACTCAATTTTACCTTTAGGTTTATATACTCCATTCCTATTTGTTAGCATAGTACCATTGATATGGCATTACTAATTTTTTTGACTATTCTAGGGTTTTATGTTACTACATAGACTTGACCTCTCTGCAGAGCATGTCCATGAGGTAGTGAGATTGTCCTTGGAAATAAATGTTATTTTACAATGTAACTTGATCTTTTTATCAGAAATGCTGAAGTAACATTTTTATGTCCTATTTTAGTGACTCTTTTTTTTTTTTTTTTTTTATAATTTTTATTTATTTATTTTTGTTCCCCCAAAGCCCCAGCAGACAGCTGCATGTCATAGTTGCACATCCTTCCAGCCGCTGTATGTGGGACGCGGCCTCAGCATGGCCGGAGAAGCGGCGCGTCAGCGCGCGCCCGGGATCCGAACCCAGGCCGCCAGCAGCGGAGCGCGCACACTTAACCACCAAGCCACTGGGCCGGCCCTATTTTAGTGACTCTTAAATGACTTGGTTTTCTTTTGGTTTCTTTCTTATAGACCAGTTTGACCAAGTTTTCTGACAGTCTTCAAGAAATGATAAATTTTCACACGGTAAGTGTCAGTAGGTAGGTGTTACTATGACTGTGTTAATATTTTGGTACTTTTCTTTCGTGGTAGTATTTTATAAAATTACTAAAGTTGAAATTCAGTGACTTTGATTTGCCAGCAGCTTTTTAGTTGGGTGGATCTAAAATGTGTGTGTGTGTGTGTGAGAGAGAGAGAGAGAGCGAGAGAGGGAGAGAGAGAGAAGTATATACATTTTATTTCCCCTTGTAAAATAGTGAACTTAATATCAATGAAGTACACACCCATAAAAGCTATTTTTCCCTTTAAGTTGTGCCTTTGTAAGTTTTTAAGTAATTATTTCAAGAATAAAGAAGTAAAAATCATAATTCTAAATTTAGCTATTTCTTTCTTTCCTTTTGTTTTGTGTGAGGAAGATCAGCCCTGAGCTAACATCCATGCCAATCTTCCTCTTTTTTGCTGAGGAAGACCGGCCCTGAGCTAACATGTATTGCCAATCCTCTTCCTTTTTTTTTTCCCCAAAGCCCCAGTAGATAGTTGTATGTCATAGTTGCACATCTTGCTAGTTGCTGTATGTGGGACGTGGCCTCAGCATGGCCAGAGAAGCGGTGCGTCGGTGCATGCCCGTGATCCGAACCTGGGCCGCCAGTAGTGGAATGCGCACACTAAACTACTAAGCCACGGGGCTGGCCCCTAGCTATTTCTTTTAAGATACTTACAAATACATCCCCTTTGTCTAATCAGTTGCCAATATTAAAGGCTACTGTAGTCTTTGAGCTATTTATATATGTGTTTAAGATTTGAAGGCATTCATCCTTCAAGAATGAGGGATATGTGTTATTTCTGGAATGTCAGGAAATTCCTTTATAAATTTTGTAAAAGTTTACTGAAGATATGGTAGCTCATAAGCTATATACTTATAATTTTTAAAGAAGCTTAACATATATTGCTGTCGTATAGTTATTCAGTGCTTCAAAATTTATTAGTAGCTATCTATAACAAAAATATCAACATTTATATTCTTTTTTTTTTTTAATAATTTTATTTATTTACTTTTTCCCCCAAAGCCCCAGTAAATAGTTGTATGTCATAGCTGCACATCCTTCTAGTTTCTGTATGTGGGACACGGCCTCAGCATGGCTGGAGAAGCAGTGCATCGGTGCACGCCCGGGATCCGACCCCAGGCCGCCAGCAGCGGAGCGCGAGCACTTAACCGCTAAGCCATGGGGCCGGCCATCAACATTTATATTCTTGATAAAATCTGCTAATTTTTGGTTCTTAGTCAATTTGATTTTCTTTTTTTTTTTTTTTGATCAGCATATTAAGGATGAAATTATCTGATAATATTTATTTTAATTGTAGTTTAAATTTTAGCTATACCAAAATTAGCATGTACAAGTATCTGCTTCAGTTCTTGCTTTCAGTTCTTTTGGTTGTATACCTAGATGTAGAATTGCTGGATCATGTGGTACTTCTATGTCTACCTTTTTTGTTTGTGAGGAAGATCGGACCTGAGCTAACATCTGCCAATCCTCCTCTTTTTTGGCTGAGGAAGACTGGCCCGGGGCTAACATCTGTGCCCATCTTCCTTCACTTTATATGGGACGCCGCCACAGCATGGCTTGACAAGCAGTGCGTTGATGCGTGCCTGGGATCCGAACTGGCGAACCCTGGGCCGCCGCAGCGGAGCACGCGCACTTAACTGCTTGTGCCACCGGGCTGGCCCCCTTCTATGTCGACTTTTTTGAGGAATAGTCAAACTGTTTTCCACAGAGAGTGCACTGTTTAAATTCCCACCAGCAATATATGAGTGTTCCACTTTTCTACATCCTTGTCAATACTTATCTTTCTTTTTT